AGCAATGTTCACCCGCTCCGTCAGCGCGCATGCGCCCGCGTCGTCCTCGTGATAATCGAAAGCAGAAGTGTCACTGCCATTGCCACAGAAATCGGCGAACGTGTCGTCGGTGGTCTCGGCGTTGACGAAGGTGTCTTTGATGGTCTCGGCGTTGGCCCAGAGAGAAGCCCACTCGTCCCAAGTGCCGAAATGTTTAAGCCCATGAGTCTGCAAGAGCTTCTCGAAGCGTTCGATGTCGAGATCGAGTCTGGTATAACTACCACCTCCGCTCGGGTTCAAAAAGTGAGGCCAAACATCCACTGCGTCTGCTAATGTTGAGTGTTTGGGCTTCTTCCCTTTCGTGCTCGTCTTCGTGCCTACGCCAGGATTTGTCGCCATCCGACTGATTAGAGCAGACCCGATTCGCGTTGCCCCAGCCGTAGCCGCGTGCACTGTGCGGACCACTTTCTCTTCATCAGTTGGGCCAGCGGGCGGTCTGCTGCCGCTCGGCCGGTTCCCTGGCACGTAATCCCAGGGCACGGTATCGGACAACGGATCTTGCAAACCACCGTTTGCCATTCGGTCGTTGACGTTGATCAGGGTGGTCAACATGGCTTCCCTGGAATACTTCATCCGCCGCGGCAGCATGAAGTAGCGCACGTAGGCGTATCGAGCTTCCTGGCCTTCGAGAAAAGGTTCAAGCGATGGGTCCTCCAGAAAGCATCTGCTCGCCACGTCGACGTTGTTCTCGTCTGGCGTGAACTGGCTCTCTAGTTTGAGAACAACGAACCTCCGCGTCCATGATCTCAAGGAATTGACGTCGCTGGGGTCGCCCACAATAGACGGTAACGCAGGGTTGAGCTCCCAGTACTTGGCGCAACACTCCCATGACAAATACACTGTCTCCGCCCCAAAATCGGGCCTGCAGGGTAACTTAGCACCGCTGATGAAATTCTTCACCACGCTCTCCTGCAACGGCTTGCCAGCTGCGCATTCAGACATGATTAGACATCGCGCTTGGGCGAAATGGCAACCCTGCTTTCGAAACTCCTCCTCCACCTGGAAGTTGTTGGACCCCATGTATGAGCAACTCGCGCCGAAGACGCTGGCACGTAATTTGGACTTCGCCGACTTCCCATTCCCCCCATCGGATAACAAGACGATCATCTTGTGAGGAAGAGCACAGCCGTCCAACGCCAGGACCTCCATGTTCTCGTCTATCTCACGTGCGTCGGGCCGCCCTGCGTAGGTCGTGCACAGAACTCCCCGCAAACGCTCCAACGTATCGTCGGAGGGCTTCCAATCCAGGTGGACAGGGAGATGCGTGTAGCACTTGTTGGCGATGCCCTTCTGAATTTTCTGTATTGGGCCGCCCTGCCACCGAATCGTAGCGTCTTCGAAGTTGACGATGGCGCTCGCATCTGGGAGGTCTTGGACGAACCACTTCCCGAACAACTCCAGAGTCTCCTGGGCGTTGCTTCTGTTCGTTAAGCGCGTGTGTAGCCTGGAGAGCGAGATGCCAGCTTGGGACCACCACTGCGCGCGCGGGTGTTCAGGGAGATTCTTCTTGAAATCGCTCCGGAGCGGCTGTTGAGAATTGTCGAAATTGATTTCCCGCAAGAATGAAAAGACTGCGTCCCAATCGCGTCCGACATCGGCCTTCATCATCAAAGCATAAAACATTCTCTGCGCTCGCACCAGCGATGCTCCCAAGAATCTGATTTTCGCCTCTGGTAATTCTGTGATATGCTTCATTGCCCCGTTCTCATATGTACACAGCGTCTGGGTGAGCGCATATAGTCCCGCTCATCAGAGTCCCAATCAGGCGTGCAGCGATGAGATCGCTATTCGGGCCCCATTCGATGCCCATGGTAACGTGCAACGCGATAACCAAGAAAGCTTGGTAAGACACTGTGTCTGGGACGTAATTCCAGTTTGCCACCTCTGTAAGAAATCGTTCCGTTAGTGCGGCTGTCAGATTGAGCATTGAGGGAGGTCGCGCATCCTCTTCTGGCTCAAACGTCAGTCTTGAACCATCATAGATGAACTGTTTGTAAACATCTGGCTCCCACATGTCCACTGGCTGCCCCTCCTTCCGACGCCTCTTCGAACTCGGGGCGCCCGATGCCAGAGCGCGCGCGGCGCTCGCGCTAGCCGCGCGCGGGGGCACCAACAGGTTTCCCCCTGGCAGAACGCGCGCCGTTGACCTTGCTTCATCCTCCAGCTTGGGAACATCGGAAGCGTCAACGAACTGCCAGTACAAGTTCAAGGGCATCCCCGACTGGGCGGCGTGCGAGTGCGGCATCTGGTACGTGCCAGACACGATATTCCATGACTCCACAGCGCCACCTGCACCCAAGCGAATCTCTCCCGCCAAAGCTACAGCCTCCTCGCACGCCAGCCCAGCATGGCCAGCAGCTTGACCCATTGGCGACGGAGACGTAAGAAGGACTCTGAAAAATTGCTCGCCGAAACACTTTACGACGGCAAATGGACCAGGTTCAAAGTTGACCGCCCCGACCATGTGCCCTCCGACGTCTCCCCAACGAAAAGTACTGCCTTCTGGTGTCGGAGGCGGGATGTAGGCCGTGGCATTGGTCACGCGGACGATATCTTCGGCGGCGCTGATATGGAGTTGGGCAACAGGCACGCCAGCGCACACCCATTGGGGCACGCTGCCAGGTGGCGCATTGGCGTCAACCGCAAACGGAGGCAATCCATTCGCTCGTTGCAGCAACGGCGGGAACAATGCCACGCTGGATGCGCTGTCATTCATCTCTATCGCCACAAGATCACAATCGCTTTCATCGCCTGCGTCGGCTAGTGACAACGCCGCGGGGCCCGCCTCCATTCGCCCCTGCCCGTCTCCTGCCAGCGTCCAAAACGGGCACCGCCCGCCACTCAGGAACGGGATCCCGTCGGTGGCGTTGAAGGCGAAAACGGATACATCTGGGTCTTCGATGTACGACTTGATTTGCTTCGGGCCAAGAAATCGCCTGGCCCCGCCGTCAATCCGCAGGCGGGCCCCCCCGCCACATTGCACCCACACATTGAAGAAATGGTTGTGTTGGTGCACAATGTAACGGCCGTCTGACAGCAACGCATGTCTAGGGACTGGCGCTGCTGCGTGCCCCAGTGGCCGAAGCATTGCGTTGCCGCCCCGCAGAATCCAAAAGGGGCCGTTGCGCGTAGCCACAACTGGCATGCCATAGTTTTGAAAACAGCGAATAAGACACATATCTGCAAAGCTCCCATTACCAGATGTTGCGATACTTGGGCACAACGGGCTTTGAACCCCGCCTGAACGGTTCTCGCTGTCGTGGGCGATCGGGTCCTCATCGCCATGCGCGACGTGGCGATCGTGCAATTCCGATGCACGGTGCGAGCTGGCCCCATCCTGGAAGAAGGCGTCGACCCATCCGCCCGGCGCGCCCAGCAAGCTGCCCCGCGCGAAAGGCATCTGCAACAAGCAACCTGGCGAGGATATCTGCCAGCGGAAGAACGACGCCAAGTCGGATAGATATTGGGGCAGGTTTGCGACGCCCTGCGCGTCAGACTGCAGCGCAGCCGCCAAATGAACACTGGTGCCATGATACATGTCGTGCCCAGCCAAAGCCTGCACATATTCGTGGAAGTCGTTGGTCTCTTCGAGGCACTCGCCTGTTGCAATCCATTTAGCTGACAGTTGAACCATTCCATGTTCGTCGGGGTCTCCTGTGAGCTCCGCCTGAATGGGGGCCACGACAAATGGCAACACCGCGAACGAGACCGAACGGCGCCCGAACCGAACGCTAGCAAATTCGAACATGTTCGAAAGCGACAACAAAACCCCATGCCATGTCCCCATTCAGACGGAGCTGATCCTTCAGCGCTAAATGCGTCGCCGAACTCGTCGGGGTTGCTGCGGGGAGAAACTGATGGAGTCCTCCTGCGGCTCTCAACTTCGATCGCATTGAAGATCTTCACGGCCGCATCGCCGAGTAGTAAGCCAATGATGAACATCGCATAAGCAAACCGATTCGTCGCGTAAGTCGCCTTCTTGCCTTTCCACATCATGCAACAAGTGAGGAACACGTATGCCGTTTGCAGGAACGACACGTACACAAACTGAATAGAACCTCTGTTCAAATACTCCCAAGCATTCGACAAAGCGGTAACCCATGCCTTGAACATACTCGACAACGCCACTGAACCTGACGCACGCCGCGTTCTCGAACCGCTCACAGGCAGATCGTAGTCCTGCTTGCCATCGGCACCGTCGTGAGTAAATACACGTGCCGACGTCGGCTGCCACGGCGGCTGACCATTCGAGTCAGCAGACGGCATGTCTTCAATATCACGGCGGTAGTCATATGCGTTGAAAGACAGAGGGGCCGCTGGCTCGGTGTCGTTGCCGCCCTGCGCTGCGTAGAAGAGACGTTCGTCGCTGCCTTCGTATGCTGGCCACACCTTCATGAAGTTCTGGTCAGCGGGCGGGCTCGTCACGTTCGGCGTCGCACCAGCAATGCCTTCGCCGAGTGGGTGCTGAATGCGTAGAAGTGGCAAGAAATGGTGCGCGCCGCCGCTGGGGCCATGGTTGGAGATGTACAATACAATGCTACCTGAGATGCACATCGCGAAGAGCAATAGAATTACTCCGTTGCGCATCGTCTTTACGCTGCATGGGGGGAATTTGCGCACGTTGCACATGTGTTTTTTTTTTCAGCGACGGCAAGCTCCACGTTGCCGCGAATCCACGCAGGAAGCACATCTGAACCATCAGGGACAACATGATCGAATGTTTGGAATAAAGCGTGCGATATGGTCAGGGAAACGCAAGCACGCGGCCAGGACACGTTCAACCTTGAGCCAAAAAACGGGCACGGAGTGCATGCGAAACATGACACCAATCGTGCAGTGAATAACACAACTACGAACATCTCAGACAGTCGTGCCCTCTTTGCCGTGTCCTCTCCTTAGCATATTGCTGGGTCTCTTCCTGAGCCACCGAGCCTCCATCCAGGGCCCCTTGCTGCGTCTCCATCATCGTCGTCGTCGTCGTCGTCGCCGTCGTCGTCGTCATCGTCATCACCATCATCGACAACGCCATCAGCATAATCACTATCAGCATGATCAACGTGATGATCATCATCGCCATCATCTTCCTGGTCCCCGTTCTCTCCTCCTCCTGTTCGTCATCATCCTGCGCGCCCTTGCCGTCCGAAAGAACGCCCAAGATGCCCACGATGGCTTCCACGACGGAACTGGGAGGCCACCAAAGCCGCCGAGATGGCTCCAAGAGAGCCCCTGATAGACCCAAGATGGCCTCGGTACCGCCCAAGAGGCCTCAAATACAGCTCAAGATGATTCCAAGGGAGCCTCCAGCAAGGCCCGAATAGGCCCAAATCATTATTGATGTCCCGAAGGTTTCGAAATCTTTCCGCATTCTCGCGAGCATCCTCCTCCTCATTATCATCATCAGCAGCATCAGCATCAGCATCAGCATCATCATCATCATCATCACCATCATCATCATCAGCACCATCATCATTATCGTCATCATCGTCCTCATCCTCTTCCTGCTCCTCCACCTCCTCCTCATCCTGCTCCTCATCATCATCCTCACCCTCATCCTCCGACGACGTTGTGACGAGGGTGGAGGCCCCGTTGTGACGAGGGTGGAACGACCCCTCCCCGGGAGGAGGACGAGGAAATTTTCGTTGTTCTCGGCCTCTGGAGGCCGTCTTCGGGCTCCGGGTCCGTCAAAAATCGATCCTGAGTGTAAAGCTGCACCGGATGGATCCCAGGATCGGTCCGGAGATCGATTCTGAGCCGATCTGGGTCGTCATCGTGGGAAGAGGAGGGGGAGGAGGCGAGAGGGCGAACAGTCTCACGCCGCGCGGGTTCGCACGCTGTACGTGCAGCGTGGCACGCAGGAGCGCGAGCGCTGGTCGGGACGCGCACGAGAAGAGGGCCAGGCCCGCGCCAGGTCCTAAGGCAGGGATCGCAGCCAGGACACGCGCGCGGGGACGGCGAGCGGGGACGACAGCGACGACGACGACGCCGACGACGACGACGATGACGATGACGACGACGACGACGACGACGACGACGACGACGACGACGACGACGACGACGGCGACGGCGATGGCGGCGGCGGCTACGAGTGCCGCAAGGCTTGGCGCAACACCCGCACCCGTCGACGCGCGGGTGGCTCAACCTTGACCGCGGCCGCCGGCCGCTCGCCCAAGCACTCCGACACCTCCTCTTCCTCATCATCCTCCTCCTCCTCTTGCTCCTCCTCCACATCCCTCCTCCTCCTCCAATACCTCCTCTTGCTCCTCCTCCACATCCCTCCTCCTCCTCCTCCTCCTCCTCCTGACTCCCCCCCTGCAGAAACCTCTTGCTTCTCACGGGTGGGCCCCAAAATCCCCCCAAAAAAAATGGCGTTAGTTTCCCCTTATTCATAGGGGATGAATATGTGTTTGAATAGTAAGCAGGACGACGCGCACCGACAAAGTAGCACGAGCCCCGAAGGGTTCAGCGCTACTTCCTGGCACGAGCCCCGAAGGGTTCAGCGCCAGGTGACTGCGAGCACGAGCCCCGAAGGGTTCAGCGCCCCCAGTTGAAATAGCACGAGCCCCGAAGGGTTCAGCGCTACTTCTGGCACGAGCCCCGAAGGGTTCAGCGCCGCCTGACTGCGAGCACGAGCCCCGAAGGGTTCAGCGCCCCCAGTTGAAATAGCACGAGCCCCGAAGGGTTCAGCGCTACTTCTGGCACGAGCCCCGAAGGGTTCAGCGCCGCCTGACTGCGGGCACGAGCCCCGAAGGGTTCAGCGCCCCCAGTTGAAATAGCACGAGCCCCGAAGGGTTCAGCGCTACTTCTTGGCACGAGCCCCGAAGGGTTCAGCGCCGCCTGACTGCGAGCACGAGCCCCGAAGGGTTCAGCGCCCCCACGTGAAATAGCACGAGCCCCGAAAGGTTCAGCGCTACTTCTTGGCACGAGCCCCGAAGGGTTCAGCGCCAGGTGACTGCGAGCACGAGCCCCGAAGGGTTCAGCGCCTCCAGTTGAAATAGCACGAGCCCGAAGGCTTCAGCGCTAGAGGCACGAGCCCCGAAGGGTTCAGCACCAGGTGACAGCCCTCCTCCTCCTCCTCCTCCGCCTCCTCTTCCTCCTCCTCCTCCTCCTCCTCCTCCTCCTCCTGTCCACTCATGTTGAGCGGGTTCGCCCAACCCTTGAAGGACCCCCTTGTGTGCACTAAGCTCTGCGACTCGTGCTCCTCCTACTCCCGCGCCAGCCCTCATGTTGAACGGATTCGCCCGAGCCTTGAAGGTCCCCCGTGCGCACAAGATTTTCATCATTTTCCTCTCCCTGCTTCCCCCCCCATCCTGCTCCTCACATTCCCCTCCTTCTCCTCCTCCTCCTCCTCCTCCTCCTCCTCTCCCTCTTCTTTCTCATCAAAAAACACAACGAAAAACAAAAAACAACAAAATCCTTCGCAAAAGGAATCATGATGTCACTGGTACTAACGAAAGCCTCCACAAAAAGGAGTTCTATTGAAATCTCCCCCAAAAGGAATTCGAGTCTAACCCTCTACAATAGAAATCCTTTTGTAATCCTCCACAGAAGGAATCTTTTTGTAATCCCCCACGAAAGGAATTCCATTGAAATCCTCTACAAAAGGAGTCCTTTTGTAATCCTCTACAAAAAGAATTCTATTGAAATCCACCACACAAGGAATTCTATTGTAATCCTTTACAATCGGAATCCTTTTGTAATCTTTCACACAAGGAATCCTATTGTAATCCCTTACAAATGGAATCCCATTGTAATCCTGAAATTCCCAATTCCCAAGTACTTCGGGATTTTTTTTTGTTTTTTTTGTTGTGTTTTTGTTCCTCGCCTTGGCTTTGGCTGTCCAGGCACAGGGAAACTTTGTTTCCAAGATTTCAAAAAAAATGTTTTTTTTGTTATCCGCTTTGGTTTTTGCTGTCCAGGCACAAGGAAGCTCAAGGTCGATGAAGGTCGAAAAACATATATTTTCGCGATTTGGCTCCATGGGAATATACTGGCTGGCCCTAACTTCCCTGTGCCTGGACAGCAAAAACAAACGCGGATAACAAAAAAAATATTTTTGGAAAACCTGGAAACAGAGCTTCCCTGTGCCTGGACAGCCAAAACCAAAGCGAGGAGCAAAAACAACAAAAAAACAAAAAAACAAATGTTCCCGAAGTACTTGGAAATTTGGAATTTCAGGATTACGGTAGAATTCCATTTGTAGAGGATTACAATAGGATTCCTTTTGTGAAGGATTACAAAAGGATTCCAATTGTAAAGGATTTCAATAGAATTCCTGTTGTGGGGATTTCAATAGAATTCCTTGTGTGGAGGATTACACTAGGATTCCTTTGTAAAGGATTTCATTAGAATTCCTTTTGTGGGGATTACAAAATAATTCCTTTTGTGGAGGATTACACCGGGATCTCTCCACCTCCCCTCCCCTCCCAGGAGGGCGCGAAGACGAATGCAATGAAAACGAAAACTACGGAAAGAGAAAAAGAGAGAGATAGAGAGAGAGAGGACAAAAAAAAGAGAAAGAAAGATATGGACGGTAATGTAAGTGGAACACAGAACATGTCAAGGTTTTAAGAAATAAAAACGTAAGAAAAACCTATCGTCAAATAGAACCACTTTTCGGCCTTACCCCCACCCCCCCCGCGTACTGTTTTTTTTTTGCACGCAAATTTCCCCGGAGTTGGGTTTTCGCCTGCATTTGTTTTTTAAAATGCTGCTCTCGCTGAGGCGCCGGCCTCATTTTCGGGCCCCGCTGCAGCGCTGGCCATATTTCCGTGCTTCCGCTCGTTCCGAATCGCGCCCCCGCTGCAGCGCTGGCCTCATTTCCGCGCTTCCGCTCGTTTCGACTCGTGCTCCCGCTGCAGCGCTGGCCTCATTTCCCGTGCCGCGCCACGGCATGCAATGCAATGCCAGGTTGATACTGCGGTTTGCGGTGCTCTTCTACGCCATGCCACGCCGTGCTCTACGACGCATCGACTAAACCCTTTCGGGATCATTGCCCTGCTCGACATCCGACTGCACGGGTGGAGAGGGGATCTGCGCCATGGCAAGGGGTGGGAGGGAAGGGTAGGATGTCAGATATGACGCAAGCGCACCTAGCTTGTCCTCCTCGCCCGCTCCGCCAGGGGCTCCTCGGCCAAGGAGCCCCGCCGCCGCCCCCCCCCGCCCCCCCTTGTCCTCTCGCGCGGCCCCCGCTCTTTTCAGCGCCAGCTCCGACGGGCAGGTCGATCTCCTCGAGCAACTCGGGCAGGCCGAGTCGCCTATTATAGGAGCACGAATTCGCTGCGGCGTGGAGGGGTGCAAACAACATCCCGAAGGAAGGGGCTGCCGTGTTAATTCAGGCGCCCCCTCTGAAAGCGCTGCGGCTCACTGCCCGATGTTTGGCGGGCCACCTCGGCCATGCGCAACGCCCGCTCAGCCACGAGATAACGGAGCTTGCCCCCGCCGCGCTGGCCCTTGCGCGCGGAGCGCCGCGTCTCGCAGGTGGCGGACATGGCCAGCCCAAAAGCTTTTCGGCGCAGGCGTTGGCAGCCAGCCTAGAAAAACAAATTGGGCCATAA